AGGATTCGGAACTGCTTGTTTTCTCCCGTGCCTGTAAATGTTCACTTCTCTGTATCTGATAATTGTGCTGTATGCTTCTTCTGTCATTTTTTTGTGTTTGCAGATTGATCTGACATCACAAATTGTGCGCATCACTACTTCGCTAAAGGTGCTTAAAATATCATTCATTTTCTTTTCTTTATCTATTTATTGTAATTTCTTGAGTTTTCTGTGAGAATTTTCATTCTAGTTGTATCCGAAACACTGTAATTTACCTTATTAATGTTTTTCATTTCAGCTGAACTGTACGGTAGGTGGGTAAATGACAACTTAACTTCTGGAAGAAACATAACATGAACTATTTAGTCTAAATAAAATAATAAATGGATTTTGGATGTGAATCTTTTTCCTTCTAAAATTGAAAGAAAATAGTATTGTTGAAGTCACTAAACAAATATAATTTCTCTTAGCTTGATAATTACCAAATCTTATCTCCTTTCATATTCTAATATACTTCTCTTTCCTATCATCTTCTCTTCATGACACCCTTCCTGTCCATCTTTTTGCAGGTGGAGAACACGGGATCTGATGTTGTGTCTGAGATTTTGCTGTCCTTTCCTGAAAACCAGGCAAAACACTTGGCATACTTGAAAGCAACACTTGGCGAAGGGAAGGGAAAAGCAAAAACCTCTTCTGGTGTTGCTTTACCCGTTAAAGCTGTCCAACCTAATGATGTACCTCCTGCCTTGACAATTTACTCCGTATCTTTACCAAACGGGCTTGGGAAGGGACATAGTTTGACGTTAGATGTCTTGGCTGTTTTTACCCACATATTGCAACCATTTCCAGAGAAAATCAACCAGGGTGACATCCAACTTCTACTGTTTCAAGAGAGTGCACAATATCTCTCTCCTTATGCTGTCAAGGCACAATCACTCACTCTTAAGTTGCCTGATGCAAGAATAGAGTCCTATTCAAAACTAGAAAATGCTAAACTTCAGGGATCTGAATTAAAATATGGTCCATATGAGAATATTCCACCTTTCTCATATTTACCAATAGTTATTCACTACGAGAATAACCTACCCTTTGCTGTTGCTAAAGAGTTAGTGCGAGAGATCGAAATTTCCCATTGGGGCAATGTACAGATCACAGAACATTACGAAATTATTCATGCTGGTGCTCAGAGCAAAGGAGAATTTTCTAGGTATCCTTCTTTCATTGATTCTGAGTTATTTGATTGTTTCATTAGGTTGGCGTGTGATAATAGTTTGTTTTCTCCTACAGGCTTGACTATCAGACCAGGCCATATTTAAGGGGTGCATCAGCTTTCAGGCGTCTTGTTGCCAAACTGCCACCTAGAGCTCATTCTGTGTATTACAGGGATGAAATTGGCAACATTTCCACTTCTAGTTTGTGGGGTGATTCAAGAAAGGTGAATACTTTTGCATTTGACAAAATTGTATTGTGAAATACTTTTTGAAAGGCATTTACCTAAACTAACGATTCTTTAAAAATCACAGACAGAACTGGAGATTGAACCTAGGTACCCTATGTTTGGTGGCTGGAAAACTACCTTTACTATTGGATATGGCTTGCCACTTCAGGACTTCTTATTTGGATTGGATGGAAAACGCTTCCTTAATATCTCTTTTGGTGCCCCTATCTACGAGTTGGTGATTGACACTATTTTTGTGAAGGTGACTGAGTTTATTTTATCTTTCCCAATATATATTTCTTTTTTCTTTTTTTTCGGTTGGAAACTTGGAAGGTGCTCTTTGGATGGAGAATTTGTTAGTGACTTGTGCAACATCACATTTCACTTTTACCTTTTCAAGGGAGGATGACATATATACCAGGGAAAAATAAATTTCTTTATCCGAATATGACTGTATCACAGTAGTATGATAATATAATTGTGAATTTTAATCAATCGGTGTCTGAGTTGTTAACAAGTAACCACTTATTGACATGTGACTGTGAATAGTTAATTGATCCTAAAGTGGAAATGTTTTTACAAAAAAAAATAATTATTTTTGCAATATTGCCTACTCTCTCTCAGTTGTTATCTTTGTGTTGTAGTATTGCCAAATTGAATTACAATTACATCTACCTAATGCTTGTAAAGTCCAGGTTGTTTTGCCAGAGGGTTCTAAGGACATTTCAGTATCTGTTCCATTTCCTGTGAAAGAACGGCATGAGGTATTGCTTGCTATATTGGTATCTTCCATCAAATCATAGCTTTTCCATTCCATGATCAGGCTTTATATTCCTTCCATGTAATTGTTGCAGACGAAGATTTCTCACTTGGATATTGTTGGTAGACCTGTTGTTGTTGTGGAGAAGAACAATGTTGTCCCTGAGCATAATGAGCATTTCCAGGTATTGCTGTTACATCTTTAATGAAGCTAAAAGTGCTGACATTTTTTATTACGAGAGAAATTAATTTCCATAAATTTCATCGACTGCTGGTCGCCTTATTGAATTGGTTCTCACTGCCAATATATTTATGATGGGATTTTCTGTTTTGTCAATTTACGTATGATTTGCTTTCATTGTATTATCAAGTATAACACCATCGGATAGAGACAAAAACTAGGGACACGGAAAATTATGACTCGTTTACTTAGTGTACAATATTTGTTTCCCTTCTGAATTTGATTAGGTATACTATTATTGTCATTTTTGTATTGCAGGTCTACTATAAGTTCAACAGTCTTTCTATGCTCACGGAGCCTTTCATGTTGATCTCTGGGTTTTTCTTTCTGTTTGTTGCTTGCATTGTCTACTCACGCGCAGATATATCAATCTCCAAATCTTCTGCATCTTATTTGGCAAAGCTCCAGTGGGACGAGGTAATAAACTTGTATCATGTATAAAATCCAGTGTGTGCAATAATAGAATGTAGTGAATTTGTACCCTTGTGTTTCGCTATGCAGGTGCAAGCAACTACTCAGCTGATCCACGGTATCATTAGCCGTTGCTTAACAGCACATGACAAGCTAGAAACGTCATTGCATGATCTTTCTAGGACGGGAGACGTTCAAGCCTGTAAAGCAACACGGAAATCAGTAGATAGCTCATTGAAAGATCTCTCTAAAGAGTTGAAGCAACCATTGTCATTTTTGCAATCTTGTCCACAAGCTGCTCAAATATTACCAAAGGTTATCTTATAAATGTTTTCTTCTATGGATTATTTTCTCTCTCGATTTATAGTTACAGAACCTATATTTTTGTTTTCAGGTGGAGGAACTTGTCACCAAGGAGAGAGAATTGCAGGAGAAACTTGTATTGAAACACACTACCGTTGTAGACGGCTATGAGAAGAAGTTAGGTGGAAGGGAAATTGAGAATCGGATTGCTTCGTATCAGCAGAAAATTACTGCTTTGAGACGGGAGGTTGATGATCTTATGGACTTGATTGATGAGATATGACAGGTGACTATGCTGCTCGAGATATGATAATATGCCCCCATTTTGACCTTGTTTTACTTTATTTTAGGTCACAAGTTTGTTACGGTTTGATAATTGCAAAGAGATTAGTGATATACTTCTGTGGGTCGGGATTTTTTTGCAGACTATTGTCTACCCGTAATTTATGGAACAGTTAGACTATGGATCTCGATCTTAATTATCTCTAATTTTATATCCGTATTTATCTATGGAAAACATTGATTACATACACTCCTAAATGTGGTTTTTTTACACTTCTGGTACAATTTTATGTAAAAGATACGAGAATGGTCATAAAATGATGACTTTCAACTGAAATTTTAAAATGAGGAGTAATGCAATTTTATTTTTAAAAAGTTTTAAATATTTTTTTTTAATTTTAATTAGTTAACGTAATTTTTTATTTAGTAATTTGACAAATTAAGTAAACACTTTATTATCTTTATCATTTTGAGTGAATTAAAAAAAATCTAATCTAAATTAAACAATAGTTAATACTCTTATATATTTTTATAATAAAATATTTTATTTAAATACATAAAAATAAATTTAGTAATAAAATAAAATCATATATATATATATATATATATATATATATATGATAAGGAGTATCATTTGTACTAGTGGTTGTGATTTTTATAGATAAATAAGCACTTTCTATAATTAAATTACTTTAATTATTATTTTAATTATGTTTTATTTAAAAAATCAACTTAAATTATAATTGAATTAATTATACATTGCATTATACATATTTTGTTACTAGTATTTTTACCTATAAGCATAGAAGTAAAAGTAACATTTCTTCCTCCAAATCATTTATTGCAACATTTTTTTATTAAAAAAGATCATTTACTTAAATATACTTTATCTGCATATATCATATTTTTGTCATCTACACCTCTAATCCATAAATATAAACCATTTATTGTTTTTCTTACTATTTTTATAAATATTTTATTATAATTATTTATTATTTCTAATTATGTAAGCTGATAATTTAAAATTTTAAAAATTAAAATATTATTTAATAATATTTAAATAATTAATTTATTTGTTTGTCAATTGAATTAACTACAGTGAACCACTCTGAGTAAGCTGTGTTGGTCCACTTTATTACTCCTAAATCCACACACGGAAAATGAAAAAAGAAAAGTTAAATAAAAAAATCCTACACCATCAAATTAAAAAGAAAAATACCAAATAGTCACTGAGCCATGCCCAACTTTTCCCACCCCAAATGGTTAGGATTGAAGTCGTCGGTTTCAAAAATAAAAATAAAAAATTGTCCAAGAGGATGTTAATTAAATTATAGTAAATGATACCTCCTCTTTTAAAAAAAGTTTTTTTTTCTGTTCTTCTGACGGAATATCGATGTTAATGAATTTGTCTTTTTATTGTGTTGTTTAATGTTTTCGAGTTTTTTTTCCACCATGCACAATAAAAGAAAAACAGTAAGTATTGGGCTTATGTGGCATTAAATTGGAGCGAAAGGCCCATGCAGAAGAAAAGAGAATAAAAAAAAGAAAAAAAAAGGAAAAGAGAATAAATAATACTAGGGTTGTGCTGTATCTAATAACTGAAGTTGGAGTTACTACTGAAGTGAAGATACTGAGTTTTATCCGGAAAAACAAAAATGGAGACCTCTCTGCGATACGGAGAAGATTTCAAAGCTCTGCGAATTCATGCTAAAGAAAAACTTCGAATCAATTCCAACACCCACGTGCAGGTATTTTCTATTAATCATCAAACATTTTCTTCATCATCTCTAATTTCATATCTATTCTTCTTTTAGATGAACGGAGAACTTGACACGAAAGTTGGACAACTAACTTCTTCCTCCAGTATCCTTATTAAACATTTCTATTCAAATGTAAGTGTTTCTTTCCTCTTCTTCCCAATTTAAACCTATTTTTTATTATCTATTAATATCTGTTTCGCTCGATTAGTTATCGTCCATTCTTGGCGTCGGATTGCGACACGATAAACGTGAAAAATTCCGCTATACTGTCAACGCAAAGACAACGATTCCTGTCCCTGTCAGCGTTCTCAAGGGATCATCTGAGGTTGACAGGGAGTTCAAAGAGCTACCGAATGTTCTCAATTTTAAAATCAAAGGAGCATGTGACGTTGACAGGGAGTTCAAAGAGGTATTTTTCTCTGATTTTAACTTTAAATTGCACATTTCGTTTTTCCTTCAAATGCTGAATTGTTTTCTTTTTGTAGAAAAAGTCCAGAGTTGCTGTGGAGTTATCGTTGAACCTCTTCAATTTCCAGAAGGATCAAGACATTAGACTCAGACTTGGATGCGAATGTCTTGAAAAGGTTTTTGTTGTTCTCCTCTCAATCATAACTTTCCAATATTGTAACCGCGATTTCATTATGGATATCTTGATTATAAATCGCTTCGAATTCTTTATCCTAATTTGGTGGTGTCAAGAATGTTTTGGTGATAGCATAGTTTTATGTTGTGATAGGAGACTTTGTCATGTTCCTTGTGACTGAAATTAGTATTTGTGTGGATGGCATGAGATGTCGGGAAGGATTGAATATATGGAGAAAGAAAACCAAAAAAATGGGAATATTGTCTTGTGTGTCTTGTCATGCAGTAAGGCCAGACAGTTATCTATCTATGTTGACTATGATTTTGAGTTGGATGGAGTTTTGTCATCAGTGATTTACGTGGTTGTTGGAGCCTTGGGTAATTTTGTGATGTAGTGGCTGCTGAATTGATTAATTATGTTTTCTGTCCGTCTTCGGGGAATTTATTTTGTGAGCCCAATGAATTCATTTATCATTTTCCTTTCAGCACCTAGATTAAGAGAAATCCCTTTTCTGCCACTACTTTTTTTTTTCCTGTCATGCTCTCAATCTCTGGGCATTTATCGTTGGTTTTGAGTTTCTTGATTCTGTATGAAACTGGTGAGTTGGAACTAGATTGAACTGTCTTCAGTAAAACTAATTAGCTGCAAGGTTTTAAAACCATGGTCTGTAACTGATAGCAATGAGGTTGAGGCCCATGTGTAGAATATTCTCACTGCATTGAATTAGCGCTAGTTTGTTAGAACTGTCGTCCGTTTACGATTATTCCTTTTGTCTATCTCTTTCTTTAGTTACCTACAAGCAAACAGGGCTTTGTATTGAACCCTTGTATTCCGTCATGATCGAATGAAAAGGGCATAGAAGAATCATTTTATTAGAATTTGTTTCATTAGTCAATTGTTTTGTAAGTAACCACGATACAAGCCTCAGTATCAAATGTGACTGCAGTTGTCTGTTACGTAGTGTTTAAGAATTTTACCTAAAACTAAGAACCTTATTAAAGTCGAAGTCATGGACAATTTATATGTTTTTGACACCGATTGAATTGTGTGACACGTGGATTAGTGCACTTAAGGAATTCTTAGGGTACAAAAATAGTAAAATTACTATAGTCCGACGTTGATGTTTCATCTGGTAGCAACCAAATGGTTTTCTGAAATTATGAAGTTAGCATAATCCGTGAAGTTGTAGTTGGTGTCATTTTGTAGAAGATGTTTTGATATTTAATGTAGATCTGTGTACCATTCCCAATTCTGACACCCTATTGTATTATTCATGACGTTTTTTCTTAATGTTACATTCCATGTTGAAACTCTTGTTTCAGGTTCTTTACCTGCAGATCAGAGAGAATAATTGGACAATAAATGCCGATTACAAAGGTAGATGGAACGTGAGATATGACTTATGAGAAGTGCAGAGAGCTTTTTTCAGCATTGATGTTCTGCTTGTCATTTCTTGTAGACGTGTTCTGTTTCTCACCCTAACCTTAAGCCTGCCTTATAAAAGGGACCATGCATAAATTTATGTTTAGTCATGCGAATTGCTTTGCAGGAACTAAAGTGATTTGTTGAAAATGAAGTTGCATATTGATTTTACAATGTGTTGAGATAAAATTCTTCACTGCGTCTGTAAGATGTCATCATCTGGAATTGGATGAATTCGCCTTATTAATAAAGCGCTAAAGAAAAAGATGTATGAATTGATAAAAACTTTTAGGGAAAAAAGTTATAGGAAATAAATCAAATACCCTTTCTAAGATTAATTTATATACTTCTAATATATAAAAGTTGAAGTGCAAAATAGATTTACCTTGTAATGATTAACTTTGCTTCTTTATTTTTTTTTATAACTTTTTTTTGACAAAAATATTAAATTATATTATCCAATAGTGATTTTCTGGCTGACCTAAGATGATTGTGTTTAAAGTCAAAGTCATTTATACATCTTTGATGTGAGATTGCTTTTAAAGAATTGAAAAGGAGGGCGTGTAACACAGTGCGTTTTTTTATTGTGGATGAGATTTTTAAGATGATTTTATGAAGATTGATAAAATGATTATATGTGATTTTTATGATTATATGACTGTAATTATATCATAATGTAAAATTATGTTATATTATGTCTGTTGTTATATAATTTATTTTCTCGTACAATAAATTTTCATTCTAAAATTTTATCAATTTGATGATTGGTAATGCTATGTATATATATAGTATTCTTAATAGAGTCTTATGTACGTAGTATTCTTAATTTATTTTTTACTTCTGAGATATCAAATAAAAAATGTCTTACTTATAAGAAGTAAAGGAAGATAGCATATTGCATGTAAAAGTTTTGACTGTCCAATTAAGAATTTATAAAAGATGATGAATGTAATGATTAATTTTGGTCTTGATGAATAAAAAGAGTGTGAATGTTGGGATGTTTAAATTATAAGTAATTTGATTTGAAGTGGTGATGAAATTGAAATGAATANTATATATATATATATATATATGATAAGGAGTATCATTTGTACTAGTGGTTGTGATTTTTATAGATAAATAAGCACTTTCTATAATTAAATTACTTTAATTATTATTTTAATTATGTTTTATTTAAAAAATCAACTTAAATTATAATTGAATTAATTATACATTGCATTATACATATTTTGTTACTAGTATTTTTACCTATAAGCATAGAAGTAAAAGTAACATTTCTTCCTCCAAATCATTTATTGCAACATTTTTTTATTAAAAAAGATCATTTACTTAAATATACTTTATCTGCATATATCATATTTTTGTCATCTACACCTCTAATCCATAAATATAAACCATTTATTGTTTTTCTTACTATTTTTATAAATATTTTATTATAATTATTTATTATTTCTAATTATGTAAGCTGATAATTTAAAATTTTAAAAATTAAAATATTATTTAATAATATTTAAATAATTAATTTATTTGTTTGTCAATTGAATTAACTACAGTGAACCACTCTGAGTAAGCTGTGTTGGTCCACTTTATTACTCCTAAATCCACACACGGAAAATGAAAAAAGAAAAGTTAAATAAAAAAATCCTACACCATCAAATTAAAAAGAAAAATACCAAATAGTCACTGAGCCATGCCCAACTTTTCCCACCCCAAATGGTTAGGATTGAAGTCGTCGGTTTCAAAAATAAAAATAAAAAATTGTCCAAGAGGATGTTAATTAAATTATAGTAAATGATACCTCCTCTTTTAAAAAAAGTTTTTTTTTCTGTTCTTCTGACGGAATATCGATGTTAATGAATTTGTCTTTTTATTGTGTTGTTTAATGTTTTCGAGTTTTTTTTCCACCATGCACAATAAAAGAAAAACAGTAAGTATTGGGCTTATGTGGCATTAAATTGGAGCGAAAGGCCCATGCAGAAGAAAAGAGAATAAAAAAAAGAAAAAAAAAGGAAAAGAGAATAAATAATACTAGGGTTGTGCTGTATCTAATAACTGAAGTTGGAGTTACTACTGAAGTGAAGATACTGAGTTTTATCCGGAAAAACAAAAATGGAGACCTCTCTGCGATACGGAGAAGATTTCAAAGCTCTGCGAATTCATGCTAAAGAAAAACTTCGAATCAATTCCAACACCCACGTGCAGGTATTTTCTATTAATCATCAAACATTTTCTTCATCATCTCTAATTTCATATCTATTCTTCTTTTAGATGAACGGAGAACTTGACACGAAAGTTGGACAACTAACTTCTTCCTCCAGTATCCTTATTAAACATTTCTATTCAAATGTAAGTGTTTCTTTCCTCTTCTTCCCAATTTAAACCTATTTTTTATTATCTATTAATATCTGTTTCGCTCGATTAGTTATCGTCCATTCTTGGCGTCGGATTGCGACACGATAAACGTGAAAAATTCCGCTATACTGTCAACGCAAAGACAACGATTCCTGTCCCTGTCAGCGTTCTCAAGGGATCATCTGAGGTTGACAGGGAGTTCAAAGAGCTACCGAATGTTCTCAATTTTAAAATCAAAGGAGCATGTGACGTTGACAGGGAGTTCAAAGAGGTATTTTTCTCTGATTTTAACTTTAAATTGCACATTTCGTTTTTCCTTCAAATGCTGAATTGTTTTCTTTTTGTAGAAAAAGTCCAGAGTTGCTGTGGAGTTATCGTTGAACCTCTTCAATTTCCAGAAGGATCAAGACATTAGACTCAGACTTGGATGCGAATGTCTTGAAAAGGTTTTTGTTGTTCTCCTCTCAATCATAACTTTCCAATATTGTAACCGCGATTTCATTATGGATATCTTGATTATAAATCGCTTCGAATTCTTTATCCTAATTTGGTGGTGTCAAGAATGTTTTGGTGATAGCATAGTTTTATGTTGTGATAGGAGACTTTGTCATGTTCCTTGTGACTGAAATTAGTATTTGTGTGGATGGCATGAGATGTCGGGAAGGATTGAATATATGGAGAAAGAAAACCAAAAAAATGGGAATATTGTCTTGTGTGTCTTGTCATGCAGTAAGGCCAGACAGTTATCTATCTATGTTGACTATGATTTTGAGTTGGATGGAGTTTTGTCATCAGTGATTTACGTGGTTGTTGGAGCCTTGGGTAATTTTGTGATGTAGTGGCTGCTGAATTGATTAATTATGTTTTCTGTCCGTCTTCGGGGAATTTATTTTGTGAGCCCAATGAATTCATTTATCATTTTCCTTTCAGCACCTAGATTAAGAGAAATCCCTTTTCTGCCACTACTTTTTTTTTTCCTGTCATGCTCTCAATCTCTGGGCATTTATCGTTGGTTTTGAGTTTCTTGATTCTGTATGAAACTGGTGAGTTGGAACTAGATTGAACTGTCTTCAGTAAAACTAATTAGCTGCAAGGTTTTAAAACCATGGTCTGTAACTGATAGCAATGAGGTTGAGGCCCATGTGTAGAATATTCTCACTGCATTGAATTAGCGCTAGTTTGTTAGAACTGTCGTCCGTTTACGATTATTCCTTTTGTCTATCTCTTTCTTTAGTTACCTACAAGCAAACAGGGCTTTGTATTGAACCCTTGTATTCCGTCATGATCGAATGAAAAGGGCATAGAAGAATCATTTTATTAGAATTTGTTTCATTAGTCAATTGTTTTGTAAGTAACCACGATACAAGCCTCAGTATCAAATGTGACTGCAGTTGTCTGTTACGTAGTGTTTAAGAATTTTACCTAAAACTAAGAACCTTATTAAAGTCGAAGTCATGGACAATTTATATGTTTTTGACACCGATTGAATTGTGTGACACGTGGATTAGTGCACTTAAGGAATTCTTAGGGTACAAAAATAGTAAAATTACTATAGTCCGACGTTGATGTTTCATCTGGTAGCAACCAAATGGTTTTCTGAAATTATGAAGTTAGCATAATCCGTGAAGTTGTAGTTGGTGTCATTTTGTAGAAGATGTTTTGATATTTAATGTAGATCTGTGTACCATTCCCAATTCTGACACCCTATTGTATTATTCATGACGTTTTTTCTTAATGTTACATTCCATGTTGAAACTCTTGTTTCAGGTTCTTTACCTGCAGATCAGAGAGAATAATTGGACAATAAATGCCGATTACAAAGGTAGATGGAACGTGAGATATGACTTATGAGAAGTGCAGAGAGCTTTTTTCAGCATTGATGTTCTGCTTGTCATTTCTTGTAGACGTGTTCTGTTTCTCACCCTAACCTTAAGCCTGCCTTATAAAAGGGACCATGCATAAATTTATGTTTAGTCATGCGAATTGCTTTGCAGGAACTAAAGTGATTTGTTGAAAATGAAGTTGCATATTGATTTTACAATGTGTTGAGATAAAATTCTTCACTGCGTCTGTAAGATGTCATCATCTGGAATTGGATGAATTCGCCTTATTAATAAAGCGCTAAAGAAAAATATGTATGAATTGATAAAAACTTTTAGGGAAAAAAGTTATAGGAAATAAATCAAATACCCTTTCTAAGATTAATTTATATACTTCTAATATATAAAAGTTGAAGTGCAAAATAGATTTACCTTGTAATGATTAACTTTGCTTCTTTATTTTTTTTTATAACTTTTTTTTGACAAAAATATTAAATTATATTATCCAATAGTGATTTTCTGGCTGACCTAAGATGATTGTGTTTAAAGTCAAAGTCATTTATACATCTTTGATGTGAGATTGCTTTTAAAGAATTGAAAAGGAGGGCGTGTAACACAGTGCGTTTTTTTATTGTGGATGAGATTTTTAAGATGATTTTATGAAGATTGATAAAATGATTATATGTGATTTTTATGATTATATGACTGTAATTATATCATAATGTAAAATTATGTTATATTATGTCTGTTGTTATATAATTTATTTTCTCGTACAATAAATTTTCATTCTAAAATTTTATCAATTTGATGATTGGTAATGCTATGTATATATATAGTATTCTTAATAGAGTCTTATGTACGTAGTATTCTTAATTTATTTTTTACTTCTGAGATATCAAATAAAAAATGTCTTACTTATAAGAAGTAAAGGAAGATAGCATATTGCATGTAAAAGTTTTGACTGTCCAATTAAGAATTTATAAAAGATGATGAATGTAATGA